CCCCAAAACCCCAAAACCCCAAAACCCCTACTTAAATAATCACGATTGGAATCATTAATAATTTATAAATATGAACGCTTCAAACGACTGATTCTGGGATGACTCTCAATGTGTTGTCTCAGATGACTGAGATGAGCCTCTACCTAAGAACAGTGTCTACAAATGGCAGAACAATGACAATGTTCTTGTAGCTGACAAAGGCTATGTGAAACCTACAAAAAAGGTGTTTGATAAAGATAACTCTGAAGGCTCAATGATGATCCCACAGATCAAAGATGATGGAGAAATTGCAATTTTGCACCCAACACCAAGGCTTGGGTCATTGGTAGAGAAGATTAAGCACAAGAACAGAGGACAACGCTTGAATGAGTTCAAGAAGCTCAAGAACTGCTCATCTTGGAATTACTCTCATATCCTAAGCAAAATTAAGGGTGAGAGTGTTTCATCTTGGAAACATAAGTGAAGAGTTGATCGAAAGTTATCATCGCACAGAATCTTGAACAGAATTAATGGAGGATCTCAAGCACTACTTTTAAACCTAAAGAAGTAGTCTTAGCCTCCTTCCAAATAAATAACTTGTACATAATAATTCTTGATAAACTTATATGCCTCTTTCAGGGTTCACCAAGTTGTATGAGTGTTTATCAGACAGTGTCAGAATTGCCAAAATATTATGAGATTATTAATAATAATTGGCTTCTGGTTGCAAACTAATTAGTAATATTTTCTAAACTTCGTAAACCGAAAATTTCTAAGTTGATTTCTCTAATTATAATTGAGGAATCAGTCCATTTAGGGTTATAAAAGCTGCAGATACAGTAAAAGAGATAAGCACAACCTAATTTTTAGAACTAGAGGCCTAGGAATCCTGTAAACTTTCGCAATTCATGGCAGAATATTAAAATGGTAATATAGTTATTTGCTGTAGTAAACCACAATTTGGTAGAATTAATTTCTACTGAGAACGGCCAAAATATGAACCAGCAGAGTGAAGAGAGAGCCAATAAAACACCTGAGGATTATAAGGAAGAAAAGTTGTCAATTATAGAGATTACTGCAACTATATATACTCATAAATTATTCAATAAAGAAACACCATGAGTTATTATAAATTCACATCACTAAAATGTAGAATTAGTAGATTTATACAGAAAATTACCTAAATTTTCCAGAATATAATTCATTCAATATGTCAGCCTTAGAAACACCTTTCATAATTTTCTCTATCGCTCAGAGACTTAATGAGTCAGTCCTGAGACTGTTAGTGTGTTAGTTACTAATATCTAGGCCATCTTGCAAATCATAGAAGAGTTTTTGGTTAAAACTGACCGAAAACAATAGAAATAACTTGGGTAAATTAGTTAATGAAACAATTGTTCCTCAGTTTCTATACCACCATTCTAAATTATGACAGAAGGCAACTGATGGCATATATTTTGCGACTTATAAATTATAAGCTCAAGGAAGACCTAATTCCTTTATTAAACATCCCATCTATATAATTACTCTCATTTTGGTAAAAATATCACTTTATAAGCCAAACTCCATACCTTATCCACCCCTTCTAGCATCAAGACTTCTCCTTCAAAACCCATACTCAGCATTCAAACCCTCCCTCCCCAACATCTAACCCCCCTCCAACTCCCATAATCCCAAAAAATCTCCAAAAATCCCCATTCTTATTACCCCACCTTCAACCAAAAATCCCCCATACGGGGTTTTGGGGTTTTGGGGTTTTGGGG